GAGTGAAATTAAATTCTAAAATAACTTAGTGACAGTAATCCCCTTTTGTTTCTATAATTGTGTATAAAGTACACATAAATTTATAAAACATAGCTATATCCTTGTCATTTTAATTTAGATCTATGTGTTATTATATCACTTTCCATTGCAGAAGAATATCTACATGTACTATGATGTTATAACAATATTGTTCAAGATTTTGTCAATCCAGAATAAAAAAATATTTTCTAAATAACAAAGAATGTTTTGTAATTTATATAGCATCAAATGTATTATATACTTCATTCCCAGGCATTTCCACCTTGTTATTATGTCCATTCCTGGAGATGGTGGTTACTTATTTTGTAAAATTTGTTGACAGACTTCAGTGTCAATATTGTATCAGGCCAATACTGGCATTTGATATACTGGATTTAATGTAAATATATACATAAAAGTGAAAATAAGCAACGAAAGGGCTAACAGAATGGTTACAGAAAACCACTCACAAATAGGTGATAAAAAACATGTTGATAGCAAACTACCTTGTTTTTAAATAACCCCTTTTCTGGATACCTGTCAAATTTGACAAAGATCGTCTGCACTGTGTAAGCTCAATCAAACAAGCGCTTGGTCAACAATGAAAAAATATTGTTCGTTTCTATGAATAAAACAGCTGAAAAATGAATGAAAACACAAAGCAAATTGTTGTTCACATGAATTTATTTTCATAAAAAAAGAGATTATTGATCAATTAATCAGTCATAGTCGAAATTCTCGCTGTAAACTTTTCTACCGGGGCTAAAAAGCAATTTTTTTTGCCGCCATATTGTTTATAGTATCTAGTGGTGACGACCAATCAAAAATGGTGGTGTGTCGGGGGTTCTTGAAGGGAAGCCGTGTATATGGGAGAAAAAGCCGTGTATAGGAAAAACGTCACGATTATCCAATGAAAATTAAGGTAACAAAGGTGCAGAATTTATTTAGTGATATGAGGTGGAGTGGTGATCTAGTGGTTAAAGTGGCTGCCTTTTAACCCAGGGGTCATGGGTTCGAGCCTTACGTGGGTCACGACCATGTTTCTTCATATGACACCAGTACTGTTTGGTTCAAGGAAGCGGACTCAAAAGTGATGAATATAAGTTGCAAGAACTTGTTTCGCGATCGGGCTTAAAAAATATGTTCAAACTAAGAAATACGAGGATATTATATGTTCGTGTTGAAACGGGAACCTGAAGTACATGCATGTATCAGAATAAAGGATAAATCAGTATGCATGGTATACCATAGTTATTTATGTAAACTTGTTTGCATTTATATTAATTAACATATATAGTCACCTTACATAGAATCTACTGTGGAATACAACAATCTTATTCTAACCCAAAACGACCATAATTCACAGAGAAATTTTTTTTACCGCAACACAATACTGGTTCTTTCTTGGAATCTCATAATTGAGTCATTTAGCAATCTCCGCATACCGGGAAAAAAGACCAGTACTAAATATTGTTTTATGAAATGAATATCGTTGATATGACAAAAGTTTGTAATTTGTGTTATTATTTGCTGTGATATAGCATACTTTTCATGAAAGGGTTCTGAACATTATTGAAATGTATATTGTTATCTGGACATTTGCCATGTTGTTACACAAATGTGGTTTGATTTATGCTTCAATATCATTATTATAAAGAGAGATGTCAAATTCATTGTCTCATGATATTCATATTTATAGACGTTTGTGTTTACTTTTAACCTACGCTCATGATAGGATATTTATTTTATCTTCATGTTGACGTAAAATAATCATCTAAAATGATTATCGATTGCTGGCTTGAATATTGTCCAGAAATGCAGCATAACATAAGTAGAAGATATGTACAAATAAATAAAAAATGTTTCATTACACCCGACATTTCTATGCTAAACAATGTTAAGCTTTCAATAAAAAGTGTTTATTAAGTAAACGGTCAGATATCAAGCTCTCATTTCTATTGTTGGGAGATGATTAAAATAACTTTTTTTTTTCAAATTTGTTAAAGGTTTTTAATTAAAATTATCGTTTAACATGTATATTATTTTTTTAATATCGCATACTACCGACTTTCAAACATTTAATTTGTTGAAATAGTAGTTCTGCTTCCTTCTTGGATATTCCAATCAAAGAAAATATTTATGCTGTGTCAAGTCTAATTACCATACGTTACGTAATTATAATAATCATGTAAGTATGCCTCTTACACTCTTATGTCGCAATATTTCCGAGACAGGCCAAGGTCAAGGACACACACGTCTTAAGTACGAGACAAGGTAAGTAGTAATAAGCCATTATATGCAAAAGAAAAGGAAAATCAGGCTCATTATTTGATGGCATAAATCATCTGAAATATTCATTACTTTACACTTCTGTCATAGAATATCTAATACACTGGTTCGCATGGACAGTCAGCAAAACACATTTCCATATGACATGCATGAACTAATGCCAATTTCAAATTGAACACATTGTCAACATAGTTTTATCACGGTGAGAAAATATAATTATTTCTTTGCTGAGACGTTTGGGTGAACATGTGGTGTATTTGAAATAAAAATTAAACATGAGATTTACAGATCTGAAGTTAGAGTTTTATACTGTCATAATACTGCACGTTTGTAGCGTCGTTTTTCATTGGATAATCATGACGTTTGCTGTATGTGTATTTAAATTCGCAGAAGCAACTTTTCGCGGAAAGGTCCATTTTGGGGGTATATACAAATATTCGCGCTATTTTGAATTCGCGGAGGTGACTGCCGAAAATCATAAATTCGAGTACACCCATCAGGTAAAAAATAATAAGGGAAATTACTCTTACACGATTAGGCAATGGTTTTCGTAAGCAGCCCTCTTTCATTTTACATACTTTATACTTTAACCTGGTGTCAAGCAATACGCTATTGAACAGAACAAAGAAATTCAATTTGTCTAGCGGACAGATTATGGAAAACAAAAGAATGTCCGCTAACGTGCGTGATTTTTTATAGTTTAAAACAGCACTGAATGAGACCATAATTGTTAAAATGTTAACTGAGTAATTGTGTTTTGTTTTCCATGTTTCAATCAGTTAAAATCGTTAATGTTGTGTTGTGTTGTATTGTTTAGAAAAACAAAATAATTATAATCTGATCAGATGTTGATGCGTTTATGACTCAGACTATGAAATAAATAGCGTGATGCAATGGTATTGTTCAAACATGTATATACTCATACAAGAATCCGATAATCATATCAGTCAAACAACAATAATAATAAAACACTAGCAAACTGATTTATATACAGAGGTGAATGGTACATGTACAGTTTATACAACAGTAGAATCACTCTTTGAAAGCGCCACGGATACCAGACAAATGGCAGCCGTGAACACACTGAAATACATTGTTCTAGAGATGCGCGAAAATATGACTATTAAGAAATTATTGGTGTAGAAATATTCGCGGATCGAATGTCACCGCGAAGACCGCGAAAATTTAAAGCCCGCAAATATTTCTACATATACAGTATATAGTTGTATATACACGGCTGCTGTCGATTTATTAAGAAATAAATATTTCTGACAAGTTATATGGTCGTATATAAACGGTTGTTGGCAATATAAGCCTCGCCCTGCGGCTCGGGTTATATTTACGAACAACCGTTTATATAGGGCCATGTAATCTTTATAACTAATAATATAAAAGTTTACCTAAAATGAAATTCAGATATTAAGATTATTTTCTTTAATTTTTTCAAAGTTAAACTGAATGTAACTAGTAGTTCAGTTTGTCAATAAAGTATTATTTACCTATATTTCAACTACTAAAATAAGAGAGTATTGTTCAATTTTACCATGATCCTTGTTATGTTAAAATAAAATGTTCTTTCAGCTACAATTGCTATATGACATCAATGTGCACTTTTCAGGCAGGTAAGAAATAAATAACTGTTCATATAATTTAATTAATCTTTAAATTAATCGCAATATTTGTCGATTAAGGAAACGTCAAAATGATCCAGAACTTTACAAATTCGGGTACAAAATTCGTGTTGATAATGAAGCAAAATTTCTTGGACTCGTATTAAAGAAACAAACAAAACCTCTAATCCACACATAAATTATAGTGAAAGAAAATATGTGATCTAGTACGGACTTTGGATATATCTCCTCTTTCTGAAATTATAAGCAGTATTATCCAATCACTATTATATTATTGTAATTTACCAAGGAACTCGTATTGGTGTATATCACCAACATGAGGCGCATTTCGAACATAGCGACTAAAGATAGAATTGGACACACTAGAATAGCACATTCATTTTCATTTTATCTACTTTAGGAGACAATAGCCTATTTTGTTTAGTTTGTAATTAATATGTCACTGATATACAGTTCCTTCTTTAATTTCATGATAGTTACTGCTAATGGTAGATTGTATCGGGTAAATTTACTTTAAGGACATATGTCATCAGTTCCATCCATTACATTACTTCTTATATGAAAAAAAAAACCTTAATTTTACATAGTTAACATACACTAAGCTTATTCAGTTCAAACATTCATAGTGTTTGGCGTGGTAATTTGTCAATATCCCGTTATACCCATACAAATAAACAACTACTGACTGTAAATATGCGGACAAATCGACGCAAAGATTTCGGCTGTATTGGTTTTGTTCAAATAAATGTGACATAAATTTATTATTACAGAGAATCAGTAGTGCGACACAAGAAACATCAAACTAATACTTGGCGATTTGTGTAACTAAAGCATGACAACAAATTACTGATATTAATTGTCTACAAGCAGGACAAATGAAAAGATAATTACAAAATGTCTTTCAATTAAACATTGTTCCTTACACTTAATTTGTAAGAAAGTGCTTTACAATTAAAGAACAGACACGTTTTGTCTATTAAGATCCTTAATTCATCTTAAATTAGAAATTTTAGCTTTGGATACAATAAGAAAATATACTAAGACCAGTCATTCGCTCGATGTTTAAGATATATCATCTCTCAATAGCGTCACAAGATTGCCATACATATGTGCCATGTATAAAAATATAAACTTGTTTCCTAGTAGCTACAAGAAATAGAGATATACATAATATAATATCAACACATTTGATTATACTGATAACTTATGGACAGGTTGCATGGTTTGACAGAATTATATATAGAAAGCTATTTTTTATAAATAAAAGTAATTATGGTTCGCAATGGAACATCTGTCTAATAAGTGGTGAATTTAAATAAAAACTCTGTGACATTCTCTTTTTTTCCAACATCGTTTTTAACTTCTCTACTGATCTCAGATTTTCTTCAACAGTTACTGATGAAAACAAATCGCATCGACAGTAACATTTTTAAAGGCAGGCCTGGTATATATATATGATGATTTTAACATTTTTAAATACTTTCATAACTTAATTCAGCAGATTTATGCAACAGCCATACGTCAAAGTGTGGCCTAAACATACATACAAGGTTGGGAGTATAAGCTTTTGAGTTATTTGTATTGACATTAAATTCGTCATATAAAACGTTCAAAGATTGCTCGAAACACAGGTTAATCATAGCCTTAATAAAACATGCTGAAGCGATACCATACTATGTATATTATTGTCAAAACACTTGTATAGCTTAAAGCTTATATGAAGCAATACTTTCATGAAATGTTATTTCGTCTAATAAAGAGATCCGTTTTTCATTTGTGAAATGGAAATTCTGTGTATGATATTTCTTTCTGAGTGCTTCTTTCTTCAACGACAATAAACGTAAACATTATATATCACAGAACCCAAATGCACTGATAAATCAATAAATAAAATGGACAAAGATGTACAAGCTAAGTCGACTGCATGGAAGAGCGTAAACGTAAAGTATCAATATTTATTTAGATGTTGTTTTAAAAAAAATACAAGACGAAAATTGCTATAGCATAGACAGTTCATTTATCATTTATTCTATTTGGCTTAACTCACTAGTCAATGCTTTCATTTTCAGTTTTGTAGAACAAAAATTTAATTGTGTATATGACATGCAATTTTCGTTATAAGTTCGGATTTTCTCGAAATAATTAAGCTGAATTTATATGAGCTCAGCTGTTGACAGACGCAAATGAAACCCTACACAAATTAAGTATGGCCTACAGAGTGAACTACCGCACAATCCATAGTTTTAAAGGCAGTTTTACCAATTTAGCTGGATGGAATTGTATATGTCGTCGTTATAATAGAAGTACAATTTTGACTAGGCATGATAGACAAGAAAAAAATAGAGACCTGTAATTCGACAAATTGAAATATATACCTATGTATATATATATATTAAATTTTGCAAACTTGAATATATGTTAAATTTGCAATCGCTCAGTATGTGACAAACAATATGTTATGATTCAAAGGCTTAAAGCAGTAAAGCAAACAAATTGCGGTTACTTAACACACAACTAACTGCGCATGTTTCTGCTGCAAGCTTGAATTATTTCAACACGAGCAAATCAAAAGGGACCAACTTATAAAAAAAGATAACAAAACAGCGTACAAAAAAGTAGAAACAAACATTCAAATTGTATCGGTTATTAACTTTCCACTGTTATCTGATTATATAGATACTCTTTTTGAAACTGTAAATGAACCAACATGGTAATGAGAAATTATAGCATTTTTTAGGTTTAACGGGCCTTTGATACAGTGCATGTCAATATCTTTTTTACTCTTACTTTTAAGAATAATATCAATTAGGCATATACATTCAATGGTTATTTCTAAAAAAAAATTATAGGGGATGTGTTTCCAGATAAAATCTGTTACGTTTTATTTACAAACGCTGCTTATGAATTTATATTTTATCTTACGGTTAAAGGAAAGGTCAATTATAGAAAAAGATGAAATGCTCTGATATAACCAATCATTTACTTTGTTCCCTATGTAAATGTTTTCAGCTGTCGAAATGAAATTGTACTGTCATAAACATCTGTTACATTTTATATTTACATATAATCTATTACAAACTATGTCAGAATGTCTATCTAAATACCATAGCTATATCGGTATGGACTGTTCATGACAAAAAGCTTAGAATAGCCTCATATGCCAAGTTGTAGATGGCTTGATTATTCATATATTTTTTGACATGCCGGGACTGGAAATATTATTGCAAATTGTACAATAACAGTTTTACAGATCATTCACCCGTTCCGTTTTTCAAGTATATTATCATTTTTTTCTATGCAAATTGACCTAAACCGAAAAGCGGTTAAACACTGTTAACTAAAGCCAGCTAAGAATAGCACTAACTAATCTATTCAAAATCAAATTGAAAGTGTACTTCTTTTTTATCGTTTTCATGTGTTTTTGTTTGCAGTGCCTAAATTGATATATGTTAGATTTTTCAAATTTAATGTTTTAAGGCGTTGACCCTCAACGGAATTCCTGTTACATTTGAAGGTTTGCTATTTTAAAGGATTTACTTTTACGTTTTATGTCTATATGCAATAATTTTCTATTCAACTTGAACATATTAATTTTTTGCAGCAAACCGCTCGTTTTATTGTTCCCCGCCTTTTCTAAAAATCTATTCCTGTTTTTATTATAGACATGTCCAATTTATTTTGATATGCATAAACTTAAATTGTTATAAGTTCATATGTGCGGCATTTTTGCGTTGAAACACAACAAATGATTTTTGTTTGCATGTCTGCAATCATGTTGTTGGGATAAGAAGCGTTTTTACATGAAGGAGAGATAAAAGAGCTTAAAACGTTTGAATATTATATATTTTGATTAAAACAGTTGTTCATTTTTGTTGCCATTTAATGGTATTTAAGGTAGCACACCTCTAATGGACATCATTTCAAACTTGTTTTTGCATATTATTTTCATAATCTGTACCATTTTACTGACTTATCTTCAAATTTTAAGACCATCTTTCCATGTAAATAAAAAAAATATTCATAATTTTTTATCACCCCCCCCCCCTTATTTTGAAAATTTTCTAATTTTGTTTTACCTGTATGGTAGGTAAAAGTGTCATTTCTTACTCAAATATGGTGTTATTACCACCAAAATTAGTATATATGAATCAGAAAGGGTCATTTTATAAAACATCAGGCTTAAAAATGAATCTTGATAGGGGAAAATAGAAAACAATTTTGATTTTCGGTAATAAATTGTATAAAAATGGCCGCCATCTGACTGAAGGCAAAAAAGCTCCACCTCCAATTATTGATATTTTTTCAAGTACATGAATATTCATTAAAACTTTAGCGCTTATTTTTCATCAACACCCTATTACTAAGGGGGAAAAAGGCCAATCAAACAATTTGCCCGCACAATTTTAACAAAAAAGTGAAAAAAGCGTAACATGCGGAAACTAAAATATTCATTTTATTTCCAGATTTCAAGTATTGAAAATATACCCAGATCATATATTTAAAATAATGAAAATATCAGTCATATAATCACAATATATATGATTTCTGTCATAGACATAGTAGAACAATTTCTAAGCCTATATTTATAATTGTTTTGAAATTTTACCTCTCACAAAACCGTTTGATACTACTCTATGAAATTTCAGTGAATGATGAAATATAAGTGAATAATTGCAAATATTTTCATATCTTTCTAAGACATAGTTGAACTTATACAACTAATCATAAAAATTGTAGCTATAAGTTAAGTTGAGTAACACCAATTCATTAAAGTATATTATATAATGTCTTTTATTAGTGTCAATGCCGAGTTCTATTTTTGAATAAATAACACACATGTATCAAAAATATTTTTTCCAAGTACTTTTCAAACAAGTTACCTAATCACTTTTTTTATTTAAAAAACTTTGACATTTTAGGAATAATTTCATTCAATAATTTCTTTACATTTGTGACTCTAGGCAAGCCTTCAGAATTCTTAGCTGTGAAAACATCCCGTAAAGCGTCCTCCCCACCGCGACAATACAACAGCTTTAAATGTGACAAATTTAATCCAGATCCTGCAATGTTTTCAGCAGTAGGTCTTTTCATTACTCCTGTATAAAGCAAAGGATTCAATGACGGTAAATTTGAGGCTTTAGTCCTATTGAACATGATGTTGTTGGCTACTGCTGATGGACTGAAATTATGTTCCATTAAGTCTTTAGTTGGGAGATTCACATGCTGAATTAACTTTCCGAGTGCCCTTACATCTTCAATGGCATTATGTGCATCATACACTTCACCAAGAATAGAGGATACAAGGTCAACTTGTTTCAAAGATTGCTTAGGATAAAGTTTTCTAAACACAGACAAAGAATCCATAAATGCACACTTTGAAAACTTATCAAGAACTCCGAGATTTGTTAGCGTTGTAACCAAAATTGGGAAATCGAACCTACGTCCATTATGTGCAACTAAAAAAACATTTTGAAATTTAGAAATCCAGGCGATCATGTCAACAACTGCTGATCTAATATTCACAGATTGAACCGTTGTTCCATTAACTGTCATCTGGCCTTTAAAATATGTTATTCCAGTAACACTAGTGGATGTTCTATCAATGGGAACTGTCGGGTTGACATATGTGTTGAATTATTGCCCTGACACAACTTCTACTGCAGAAATTTGTGTTATCTGAGGTAGCACTCCTCCTTGAACTGTAACATACATTAAAATATAATTATAAACACAATTTTATAACTATTTGTATGGTGAATTGCTGTTCAGATAAAGCATACATCCACAATCCATATAGGCAGTAACAAAGTCTTTGAATATACAAAAAAGGATATTCCTTTCTGCTATAATTGTAAATTATTAACATGTATATATTACCTTGAATAAAAATATGTCTAAACCAACTAAAGGATATGAAATAATGTAAGTTATAAAGATCTTTGAAACATTTGAAATCATTTGTAAATTGAAAATTGTAAAAATGATAACTCACTTAGCCCAGTTGTTTCCAAGTCAAAGGATATAATAGCTGGCTTTCCATGTAATTTTGCAGGCTTGAACTTCCCCCGTGGAATTAAATCAGGTATTTTCTCGACATTAACAGTTTCTGCATGACCAATACCTGTATAATTAAGTTTTCAAGTAATTAACATTGTAAATCATGAAATAAACTCTATGTAAAATGCCATTGTCTGAAAACAAACAAATTATTCAAAATTGTATTTGATCCAAACAAAATATAATGTAAACTTCATATTTGTTTTATACTACACATATTCTGATCTTTTTGTGTGTGTGTTTTTTTTATAACATGTACAGAGCATGTGTTCAATAAGCATTATATTTGTGCTCTACATTTGTTCAACATATGTCCATGTATGCAGTATTCATTTGCAACACAGGTGTTCTACAAACGCTATACATATTTTTAGGTTTGTACTAAAGGTTTACTTTTTAGGTTTGATCTTGTTTTTCATATTTTGTACTACCTTTAAAGTGCTAGCATTCAAAGTTTTTTTGTGTACATTCATGTGAACTACATGTTCTCTGTATATATACATCATATGCATTATATGTTGAATATGTTCTAAAGTGTTCTACATATAAACTTACAAGACTGATATGTATCTCCTTCCAGTGCCTCATGTGCACCCTGATTAGTGGCCCGTTCCTGTTTTAACAACAATCGTCTAAGTTTGGTGGAGGGGGATTTTACTTTTTCTCTTTTTTCCCCGCTGTTTCATACTTTCTTATACGACTTATGGGCCAGGGGAAAGGCCCCAAAATTGAGTAAAACCCCGTTTTATATAAAGGGAAAAATTAATCATTTGATAATAAATTTGTGGGGGTTTTTCCCTATTTTTTAAAAAATCTCATTTTGGAAAAAAAAAATTTAAAAAAATAGAGCTTTTTTTATAGTAAAAAAGACTTTAAAAATTTACCCTAAATTTTGACGTCATGTGTAAACAAATTTTCTTTATGGGGGTGGAAAAAAAGGGTTTTTTCTTGCATTGTGTGCTAATTTGAAAAATCCTTCTTAAAATTTTGAAATCATAGTTTCATCTTGCATTGGGCATAAAAAAAATCCCGTTGATATTTAAGAATATAATAGTACATCTTTTTTTAAAATTTCCGTTTAATTTTTTAGTTATCTGGGTTGTAGATTAAATAAATTTAAATTTTAAAAAATTTATTACTTACATTATATTCAGGACTTCACATAAGTCTAACTGTCTCCAACAAACAGGTATATGTAAAGAACAACAACAAGAACTTCTGAAATGATAACAAATAAACAACTTCAACATGATCAACAAATAAATAATTGTAATATGATCTGACAAAAACAGCAACTTTAAAAAAGATCCGTATTAACATTGTAACTGAAATATAAGGAAAAACTGAAAAACATCAATAAACTAAAAACAAATGAAATCAAAACAGCAAACCATAGAAATGTACTGCCTTCCTTCATTTATGAATGCTGCTGTTGCATGGACACGATAATCAAGACTACGGATAGTGATGACTTTTAGGTGCTCTTAGCGTGACCTCTTTGTTTGCGTGCTCACAGTGTTGACTCGAACCAAGATCTATATAGTGACCAGCATTATATATAATTGGATCAAACAACTGTTGTAATTTTTGTCTGAGATTACTGTCCTGGAGTGAAGTTTTATATGGAAGGCTACGATGTGTGTAGCTGGAAACAGGCCTTCAGGTTTTCTTCCATTCCAATTTGATCGCCTTGATTTTTTGCAAATGCATATTTCAAACATTTTTCTAGATGAGAAATGACAGTTTTGCTAAGTTTAACACCTTTTTCACCTTTCAGTTTATATAAACCTTTTGTAAAATTTTTACAACATGATTCTTGTCAAAACGTTCCTTCATTGAAACACCGAGATCAGTTTTTAATCGAGAAATAAGGGTGTTGTCACCGTCACCTTCCAAGTATTCCACTGGTATAAGTTCAGCTAAAAGTTCCTTAACCCCTTTCACACCACTTGTTGCTTCCATAGCTCTTGCACTGCCCCTATGATTTCTGACACATGCATGAGGACGTACTTTCTGGCCCGACCTTTTGCGTCTCCACCAATTACAAACACCACAGGTCCGATCGCTAACTATTGTTTTAACAACTTTCTTTGGCTGTCTGGATTTCCCAGTGGTCATGAAGAAAGTAGTCTTAGAAAGTAGTTCCAATATTCCTACTTGAATAATGTTGAATCACCCTTAGGATATGTTGCCTGCTTTTTAAATTTGTCTTTTGACGTCTTATCTGTGATACGCAGGCTTCATAACCTCTGATCCCCTTTCAAAATTCCATTTTATTTAGTTCCGCCCATTGTTTTCTCGTTTAGGGCATATGCTTTTTATTACTTGGGGACCATACGCCGCTTTTCATGGAATGGCACGGAAGTGTCACATTGAAGGTTCCATGATAACCGCCGTATGAACACATCTACGGATGTTTCTAAATTCAAAATTTTACTATTTCACGTGTAAATGTTGAATTCTGCTTAAGCCGGTGCTATGGGGCGTGGACGGTAAAATATGAAAAACAAGATCAACAAGGAAAGGCGGCGTTCAATGAACGCAACCCCCATATGACCCAGCAACAAGAACCAATGGCAAGGAGCCCAGGTGGACCTCAAACATAAAAAGGACAGGGCAACGACACGTTAATCATTTAATGATAAATAATTTGTAACTGATTGGGAATTCAAAGAAAATAGTAATATGCCCACAAAGGGGAAGGGGACAGGAGACCGGGGGAAGGGGGGGGGGTTAATCAAAGAAATAAAAACTAGAGGCAATGGGGAAGATACTTACCGTAGACGAGAAAACAACAAGGGACACAAGCAAAAGTGTCACCAAAACAGTATGAAACAACATAGACATACATCTGAGGAACACAGTGGGGCGCCGCCTTGGAACGGTCAGCAGCATAATAATGACTGCTGGGGAGTTTAAACCGGTTAATGGTGCACCAAACCTCGCTCTTAGCCAACGTGCACTTTCCAGTACCGTCCATGAACAGGCTCAATCAAACCGAGTCTGCAACATTTTCAATTTTGCCGTGTTGGGCTTTCTTTAGGGATTCTGTCAATTTTACTTTTGCTTTCTTTATTTGTTGATGTGTTTTGCTATCAGATTGAGGAGTCAGAACTCTGGGACTGGCAGTTGCTTTCTGGTATCTGTAGGTGTGCTATAATTGAACCAAGCAAGCATTTAAATGAAGCACCTAGGCATCAAAATATATACACTATGAATAAAAAAGAATTAACTATATATAACAGTGTTTTTGTTTATATGACATAAGGACTGCAAAAGTAACAGTGTCTAGCATTAACCCTGTTGTAGTAAAATTGATTCAGTAACACAACATTAAAATATAATTTCATTGACATTTCGTTTTGATACATCATAATTGTTATAGTTGCCATCATTGGAAAAAAATATTTTTGTGAAGTAAGCTTTTTGTACATGAATCAAATTTGATATACAGAAACTATCTACTTTAATAATCAGCCCGTACCTGAAAGCATTACATGATAATGGTGTCTCAACAGACAGACTGACATCATTTCCTGTACAGTTCAAACAAGAAATATCTTTAAAAAAGATAATCGGCGTAAATTCAGTGCAAAATGTCTCATAGCTTTAATATATTTAAAAATTAATGATATTTATACTTTATAACAATATAAATGTCTAAATTGAAATATATTTGGTGGTTACTAGTATAATCTATGACAGTTGTCTAAACTTAGCTGAAACATGTATGCTCCTATAATGTCAACAAATTAGTCATGTTATTATAGATGCTAGAAGCTTTTTTGTCACCGTGACTTTTGACTACTGGTTTCAAAGTCAATACCAGATAATAACCAACCATACTACCAAATTTAGAGACTGCAAGGGCCACAATCAGCTGACAACTTGAATTTTATTGTTAAATAATATAAACTTATATGTATCTGACCTTCATTTTGTAAAAGCACTTCTGTGCATAAAATGCTGCAATTATTAGGTCATGATAATAACACCAAAATCTTTTGTTGTTTATATCTTTTATTTATGAAAGAATACAAACTGTAATAAACAATCAATGGAACATATCAACTCTGAACTATACTATTTATAATGCCTTCTTATCTATCTGGCAATGAAAATGAATAATTGAAGACTTAAATCAAAAGTTAAACATAACCTTACTAGTAAAAGTTATAATTATGTATTTTATAAAAAAAGGATTTCTATTAAAAATTGCACAGCTTGACTAGTATTTTGTATATACTAGGGGTATGAGGTGGAGGTACTAGTTAAGCCTACTGGCATGGCTACGTGTCGTACACCTACACAGGTTATATTTTACAATGTACTTTAAATGTGGAATGTAAAATATAAATGTTGTTCCATATATACAGAAATATATCTATTTATCTTATAATAAGTACTAAACTCAATTTTGTATAACCCATCAATGACACTGATTATCAAGTGAGACAGTTTCAGATTGAGGTAGTCAATTGGGGTGTATTTCGGTA